ACATGCAAAAGCCTGCTCAAACTCATTAGGAAGGAAAATGTGATAATCCAGAAATGATTCAACACTTATAGCCAGGCCTCCTTAAGCCCCAAGCTGAACTGGTGATCTCAAAGCCTCGTCTCACTTCTGTTTTGTTGGCTCTCAGCTGCCTGCTCAGGCAGCTGCTGCCAGGCCTTCCCTGCCCTCATGGACTCCCTCTCAGAAGCTGTACACCCAAATAAACTCTTCCTTACGTTAGTCACTTTGCGTCATGGTGTTTTAATCACAGCAACAAAAGTGACTCGTTCCATCACCCACACTTAAAAGGCTATGTGGAGAGATGACCTCCCAAACTATAACCAACAAGCCACCCCAATGAGACTTTCCTGAGATACTGTACCCCGCTGCTCTGACTCAGGGATCCAAAGCCTCTGAACAGCCTTGCTTCTGTGAGAAAGCCTGTCCTTCAACTGCTGCAACAGTAGGAGTTGTGGTGATGTACTGTGCCCCCCAATATACTGTGTCCCTAAAAAAATTTATCTGAGGATCAGAGGAAAAAGTCAGCCACTATATAGAAGTCAAGCAATGGCAGCACACGCCTTTAATCCTATCACTTGGGAAGTAGGGATCTGTCTGGATCTCTGTGAGTTCAAAGCCACATTGGGAACAGAGCCAGGCGTGGTGGCACACACCTTAAATCCCAGCACTAATCATGGAGGTCTGGAGGTCTGTACAGACAGACAGGAAGGGACAGAGCTGGGCAGGAAGAAGACGTGATATAGCTTGGCTGAGAGAGCCAATGAAAGAACAAAACAGAAAGGCAAATAGGCGTGGATATACAGGAAGTAGTTCTCTTTGGAAGCTGAGGTGTCGGTGAGGTGAGGTTAGCTGTGGCTCTTCCTATTCCTCTGATCCCTCAGGGTTTCAACCCCGATATCTGACTCCATGTTTTTTATTTAAGAAGACTGTTTAGCAATTCGTGCTACAAGAAGTGGCTGTTTTCAAACAGGAAATCTCAGAGCTTGTAGCAACAGAAAGAAGGGAAATAATTCCATAGGAACTAACTCTAAACAAGAAAAGGAGATTGACTTTGCTTCCCCCAGTTTCCATGGGTAACATTGCTTCTCATCACACAGAAAGAAGCGAAGGTCCCTGGGACTTTATCGGCCTGTCAGAAGTATCTGGTGTGTCTGGCCTCTCCCTTGGAGCTCCAGCTTAAAATGACTTTCAACCTCCAACTCCTAGGATGTTTTACAGAGAGTCTTCCTAGTTTCTCAACTTTTAAGAGTCATAATTTTTCACATTTTAAAAATGTAAAGGAGTACAATGGCTAAAAAAATCTAGGCCCTCTTACCCACCTATGACTTCAACTCCCACCAAAGCCAGACACAAACACACCAGTGACTATTACCATTTAGTAGAGGAATTTCCATAAGCATTTTCAAATATGAAAAAGGAAGCAGAGCGTTCTCCTTAAACATGACCTTTCCAGAACACTCTAAGCCATTTAACTTGGGAGCAGGAAAAAGCCCAAATTAATCTTTTCCAGTTTCCAATGCTCTGTTTATAAGCCACAAGCACCTTTTAAAAATGTATAGGTCACTGCTTACGTTAGAGTGACAAAATAGGAAATTAAAGGGTTCTTATCAACAGTGATCCTCTATTGTACTGTCAGAGATGCAATCCAAATCACAGCTCAGCGCCAGCTTTGAGCCAATTGGTAATCGCAATGCACATGCTCGGGCTTTGGCTTCTCGAGAATTGAGGTGGGAAGCAATCTTCCTCTCCCCTCTCTTTGTAATTTCGCACATCCTGCAAAGAGGGGGAAATAAGTGTGGAAATTTTCTCTAATTTTCTCCTGCAAAAAAGAACAATTGTCACTTCAGTGCTATTCTTATGCTCACCAGATGCAATCTGCTTGCAGAACAAATGTATAAAAATCAAGATTAAATAAAGGGGGGGGGGGGGTTACCCACATGCGCTATCTAATTATTCAACAAAGCATCCTCTAAGTAATTACCAGGTACAGGGGCATGCCTCCTTTTATGAAACAGAGGAAAAGAATGGATTTTTTTTTTTTAACAAGGCAAATGTTTTCTTTCAGCTTACACTATACTTTCGGAGTAGAATCTTTTTTTCCTGGTTTAAATTGGCAATGTCTACTAATACTTGAAAAAAGTTGCCAATTGATAAAGGTCAGAAATCTGCAACCACATATATTTTTGAAATTTCTAGGAAAAAGCATTTTAAAGAGACAAAAATCCTGATTTGTTTTTATTCTTTGCTTTTCTTGTTTTTCTCATTTTTTTATACTTCATAGATATATTAAATACTGAATAGGAATCTCAATACAATCATTCTCAATGACAGGGAAGAAATATAATTAAAGTAATAAAATAAGAATCCCCACTAAGATAGACAGATGCACAGCAGGGGGAGAGGGAGGGAGGCAGAAAGGTACAGACAGACCACAGGGAAAGAAAATCCTTGCCGCAGGGTCCCATACATCTGGAAGGGATCAATGGCAGAGTTGTTGCTTTGGATCACTCTTGGGCACCACCGACAGTAACAACTGTTTCACAGAAAATTAGAAGCATCTACCCAAATGAGTGGGCAAAATATGATTTGAAAACTAGAATTTTTTTCGAGTCTCCTCATAAAACAATTAGAAATGAATTACGGTAGTGAAGCGGCCTGGCAGGCAACCCCACAGTCAAGCGCTCAGCTCTCACTAGCACATGACTTCTGAAGTGGGATTCTGAAACAGACACAATACTAGTAGTTTTCTGGGTTCCCTGCCAAGAATCCAAAAACGCCAAAATCAAAGGCACCCTATCAAACATCCTATAAAGTGACCACTAATGAAAACTAAGACTGTTGCAGAAGTCAACCAACAGTGTGTGGCCTTGGTTTTCACTCTGGACCCAGGAAGAACATGACTAGCAAAACTCACATGAGCCCTACAGTTCAGTCACAGCACTGGATGGTGCTAAGTAGATCGCTGCAATCGCTGTCCTGTGATTACAGAAGAAAGCACACAGGATAAATTACACACAAAATACTTACACTAAGGACGGAGCATGGGCAAGGGGAGCAAAAGCTGTTAGTCAGCCCAGACGGGGGAGAACTGGAAGAAGGGCCAACTGCTGGAGTGCGGGAGCACAGGGCTCAAGATGGACGATCATAAACCCGAGACTGCCAAATAAAACTAAATCTCATAGCCAGAACAATGAACCAACTTCTAGAATCAGAAAGGAAGCTACTGGAACACACACTGACACACACTGGCCTCACCGCTGGCTTCAGTGACTTGGTGGCAGTCTTTTACAGAGCACCATACTTGAAATGCAGGCGCAGAAGCCGCTCCCCACCAATGGCAATGATCCTTTCTGACAGGGAGCGGCCTTACAAAAGACTCTAAGTTTACCTCTGAGTACAGGTGATTTGAATGCAAAGCCTGAGCCACACACACAGTGACTTGTTCATTTTGTTCGGGGTGGTTTACGCCCTGCCGTTTCGGCTGTACCTGTGAACAGTGACTTAGGAGCCAGGAATCAATCAGCCCCACTGCCAGAGGAAGGAAACATCTTTAGTTACCACGTTAGAGTGTCTAACCCTGTCTTAGAAAGATGGCATTTCCCATTTTACTTGAGACTGTGTTTGCTGCACTCTTTGGGTCTAAACAATATAAACTACTTCTAAAGGTCCTTTAATGTAAATATATTTACATTTGTCCTGGCTGGGTTTTGTCAACCTGACACAAGTTAAGAGTTACTGGGGAAGAAAGCCTCTCGATTAAAAAAAATGCCTCCATAAGGTTTGCCTGTAAGCAAGTCTGTAATGTGTCTTCTTGAGTGATGAGGAGAGGGCCCAGCTTATTGTGGGCGGTGCCAGTCCCGGGGTTGCGGTCCCAGATGCTATAGGAAGCAGGCTAAGTAAGAGATGAAGAACAAGACAGTAAGTCACACTTTTCCACCTCTCCACCAGCTCCTGCCTCCAGGTTCCCGCCCTGACGACACTCAGTGATGGAGTGTGATCAGAACTCAAGTTGAAATAGACCCTTTTCTCCCCAAGTGGCTTATGGTCATGGTGTTTCATCACAGCAACAGAGGCCCTGAGACAGCATTACACCTGCTGCCTTCTCAAAACCGTTTCAAAAGAAAACACTGTACACTTTGGCTGTATTAGAAAAGATGAAAACAGACTGGTAAGACACGAATATCGAGGAGATATTCTTTGTTCGAATTTTTGACATTATAAATCTAAAATTTCAAAATTAAAAGGGATGAACATGTAAAGAGCAACTTCTGCTTCTGAACTGGTTTGACGCCAAACCAGTTCACAGATGGGCAAACCTCTGTAAAGTCCAGAGAGCCAATACCGTGAGCAGGAATTTTCTGTCACAACACCTCAAATCTGCCACAGTGTCACACAAGCATCCAAGGATGATATTTAAATGAGCAGGAATGGTTGGGATCCAATAAAACTTTATTTACAAAATGAGCCATAGTGTGGTGCTCCCCGGTGTCTGGTCCCTACTGGCAAAACAGTCAGCGTAATTATACTTTAAGTTCAGACTCTTGAGCTCATTCCAGACAATGTGAAATGCTTCGCCAGCATTAACTCATTTATCCTCTCATCCATGCGATCAGGTAGAGATTATTATTCCCATTTTCTACGGAAGAAACTGGAATCGAAAGGTGTTTAAAAACAAAAACAAAGAAACTTGCCAAGGGCACACAAACTACAGGATGGCTCATTCGACACTCTGAACTGTAACTGGATGCTTTACTTCTCTCATGGGATGAATTCCATGCAATGCCATCTGCAACCTATGGAACTGTGACTGCTTCTTATCCTCCTGACCCCACCGCCCAAGTGTAGGGATTCCAGGTGGGCAACAACGCCACACCCAGCTTAAGTGGTATTCTGCCAGTTGAGCTACATTCCAACCCAGATTTATAACCATTTTAGCAATGACTAAATAGCTATCCAAATCCCAGAAAGTACTTCTCCCAAACCTCCTGAAGCTTCAAGGACATGAGTCCCAGCTGATCCTGGCGTCTTTCCACCAGCTCTCTTTCCGTGCGCATCTCTCTCTCTATTTCCTGAAGCCGCCGCTCCACTCGATCTGAAACCTCAATATGAACAGAGAAACAGTGGCGTTAGGGAGCGAGCAGGAAATGAAACTGAGAATACACGATGTCCCAGACACACTGTGGCTAAAGCATTGACTTGTTTATAGAACCCTTTCTAAGGACACCTGGCGAAAAAGTTAATTGAAAGTTACAAAACAAAGCAATCATCAGTATTCAAGATACCCAGACCTAGATCCCACCAAGAGGGCTCAAAATTTTCAACCACCACCACAGCAATTGCGCAGCATACAAACACACTAAGAAAAGAGCGCCCTCTGGTGATGCAAAGTGAAATACCAGTATGCCAATAAATGTCTTATTACCCAATTCAACTGTCCTATCACTTTCGTTCTTTTTATCTTTTTTATCCATGAGTGTGACAATCTGGAAGACCCTGTTATGAGTGTGCAGTACATCATCCAAAGTGCTTTGTATGAGCTTGCCAAGGTTTTACTAAAAATAAAAAGTTGAAAAGATCAAACACGAAAGGCAAATATTTAATTAGGACTCAAAAAAAAAACATGAAAGAATTCTTCTCTCTGACACAAGATCTTCCTTAGTAAATGCTGTGCAAACTAAAACAGATTTTATATATGTCAGTATATATCTCCACAAAATAATTTACACTGGCAATGTGTATGTCTGGGGTACAGAAGACATTCCTATTTACTTAAAAGAATAAATAAAGCCCTATTATTAAAAACATTTCGGGCTGGAGAGATGGCTCAGCGATTAAGAGCACTGACTGCTCTTCTAGAGGTCCTGAGTTCAATTCCCAGCACCCACATGGCAGCTAACAACTGTCTGTTAACTCCAAGATCTGACACCCTCACACAGACATACATACAGGCAAAACACCAATGTATACAAAAACATTTCACTGCTAGTTCTGTGTTTCACAAAAAGTCAAGAACGGTCTGCTCATGGGGCTAGAGAGATGGCCCAGTAGTTAATTAAGGTGCTTGCCATGCAACCATGAGAACCTGAGCTTGAAGTAGCAGAGGGACAGGCATGTGCAATCCTAGATCTCCTCCAGCAGGATGAGCTGGGGACAGGGGGATCCCCAGAAGCTCACAGACCAGCTAATCTGAAGACACAGCACTGAACAAGAGACCCTGCCTCAAACAAGGCAGAAGGGAATGATCAACACCTGAAGTTGTGCTGACTGCCTACGTCAGTGTTTCTCAACCTGTGGGTCACGACTCCTTTCACAAGGTTTACCCAAGACCATCAGAAAACACAGGTATTTACAAGATAATTCATAACAGTAGCAAGATTACAGTTATGAAGTAGCAACGAAAACAGTTTATGTTCTGGGGTCATCGCAACACTAGGAAGGTTGAGAGCTACAGCCTTACACACACACACACACACACACACACACACACACACACACACACAGAGATATCTTTTTAGGAACAGATGGGGGACCTTGCTGGGGTGATAGTAATGCTCTAAATTGAACTGTGGGACAGTTGCACAACTAGATAAATTTACTACAATGCACTAAATTACACATTAGAGTAGATTAATTTGATGATAAATCATAGCTCAGTAAACCTGTCATTTAAAAGACATATAAAGCAAGGTTTGGTGGTACATGTCTATAACTCCAGTGCTTGAGAAATAAAGGTAGGGGAGTCGTGAGTTCAAGGACAACGCTGGACTGCATAGGGAGTTTGAGGCCAGCATGAGCCTCAGAAGTCGAAAAGGGAAAGGTTTGAATGGTCAACTTGACACAACCTCATGTCATGTGAGAGGAGAGCCTCTATTGAGGAATTTTCTAGATCAAATTGGCCTGTGGGGGGATTGTATTGGTTATTAATTGATGCAAGAGGGCCCAGCCCACTCTGAGCAGCCCCATTCCCTGGGCAGATGGTCCTGAGCTGCATAAAATAGCTAAGTTGAACCTGGAATGAGCTATGAATAGCATCCCTCCAAGGTTTCGGCTTCAAGAGTCTGTTCCAGTTCCTGCTCTGGCTTCCCTCAGTGATGAACTATGACCTGGAAGTATAAGCCAAATAAATCCTTCCTTTCCCTAAATCGCCTTTGGTCATGGTGTTCGTCACTGCAGTAGAGTGAAACTGGAACACCATTTAAATAAATAATTGTTATTTGTCCTGTTGTTGAGATCTACGCAACAACATGTTAGACTACATGCAGTAGAGACTAAAGCTTGGAATTCCACTAACAACCACCGGGGTCACAAAGAGCTGGATCTATGTTTACATTTGGTTTTAATAGGAACCCGACTATAGAAAACTAAAGTAAATTGAAATTTTCTCCATAAATAATCAAAATATATACTCCAATCACACTTGACAGGGTGAAATATTGACAACTAATGAACTGAAATTTCCCCTATGAGGGCTATGGAACTTAGATTATCACAATTAAGTATTAACAGAAAACAGTCACCATAATTCATGCTATCAATAATAACTATTCCTTTCCAGTGTACAACAACAAAAAACCCCTATGATTCACAAAGAATGAACAAGTCATATTTTGGCATGTGTGGCAATAACCAATACTTTTTGTCTCTCGAAGAAAAATATGTTTCATAAACTTCCATGATATATTTTATTTACTGAGAAAATGTATGACACACAATTGCAGCCTCAGAATAAAGTACAATAAATGTGATTAACAGCGAGCCCCAACAGAAAGTGAAAGTGGTGGAGTCGGAGGCCGTTTATCTTCTCTCCTCTATGTATTCAATCTTGAAATTCCCCACAGTGACCTGTAATTCTATTTAAACTCTAGTGGGGAGAACAGCTGCAGCTTCTGTGAAGTGCAAGGCTCTCACAACAAAGCTGCAGCTTCTCTGACAGCATGCGCTCCTGAATTCACAGATACGGCCCAATATGTCAGCCAGTCCCAAACTGTAAATGTTGACATCGACTGGAATAAGTGAGTCACAAAACCTAAATTAAGCTTTGTACAAATATCATGTGGCCTTCAAAAGGCCTGCTAAAATTGAACGATATTGTTTTAAGCTTGGATAAAGATTGCTGGTTATAATCAGGACTGCATACCAAGTGAGGTTGAAGAAGTCCTTGTTCAAGCCTGGCTTACCAGAAAACCTTACTTATCAGACAGTGCAGAAACAGACAACTGTAATAGATCTTGATAAGAACTGGCAGGTGTGTAATTCAACACAGTACACAATCAGACATCTCAAATTTTCTGGTTTAATAGAAAGGCTCTGCCTTAATGGGACGGGGGGGGGGGGGGGGGGGGGGGTACACAATGATGGCTGGGTAACAGGTTTTGTTGTATATGTATATACATATATGAAACAACAGCTATATCTGATCTGGAGTAATTCCCTGATGTGTGGCAATGATGATACAAGTGAATTCGGACTTACTTCTAGGGATCTCAATTCACTGTTGTTTCTTACTGGACCCTTACAACACTTTGTGTATAAAATAAAAACCTAGAATATATGGAGGATGGTATCTGGCAATTTTACTGCTTTTTGGATATAATTCAAATGAAATGATAACTGCTCACTTTAAGTATCTCATCATGGAAAATGGTAAAACTTAAGAAAAGTAGTGTGCACTACCAAAGCTAATATTAACAAATTTCAAATTCAAACCAACAACTAAGCAATGATTTCAGAAAGAAGAGTGTGATGGTGTAACTGGACACAACTATGGTTCACTCAGGTATGAGAACCTCAGCAGAATACTGGAGATGTCTGAATGTGGAGTACAGCCTGTTTGTAGGAACTGGGGAAACAGGTTAGTATCAAGCATGAGGACCTGAGTTCTAATTCTCCAAAACCCACACAAAAAGCCAGCTGTGGTCCTGGGGAGAAAAAGACAAGAGGATACCCACACTCACAACCCCATGGGTGACCCGGATCTGGCCCTGCTCCTTGCTGCAGGCTGCATTCGGTGAGCTAGCCTAGGCAATGCTGGAGGGCTCGCCTTGGTAATGATGATGAGGGAGAGCTGGCAGGCTGACCAACCCAGCTACCACCCAGGCCCAGAACCAGGGCTATGAGTTGGCCACCCCAGAACCCACCTCATCTATGAACTGCTGGAGCATGGGAAGGGGACAAACCTACAGATCCAAAACTGCAGGATCCCCAGGACACAGGACAACAACAGGATATCCAAGAGGAGCCCCAGTGAGAACCCATTATCAATAGCAGAACCCACAGGCTTCACACCAGACCAATGAACACTTACAAGTAAAGATTAACGGACTAAAGAGCAACAGTGTGACTCAATAGGCCATGCTACAGCTATCATAAGATCCTTCTCTTTTTTATTTTGTTTGTTTCTTTGTTTTGTTTCTTTGCTTAGTGTTTGGGTTTGCCTTTAAATTTTTTTCCCCAGGGGGGTTGCAAGGGCAGAGGGCAGATGTGAGCAAGACGGGGAGATAAGTGGGATCAGAACGCATAATGTGAAATCCACAAAGAATCAATAAAAGTTAAAAGGGAAAAAAAGACAAGACAAGAAGTCAGCTGGAACTTGATGGCTGCCAACACAGCCAAAAAATAGTGAACTCTGGGTTCAGTAAGAGACCCATAAAATAGCAAAGACAAGCTTAACTCAAAAGAAAATCGAGCAAAAAATACAATCTGGTATTTTATAAACAAAAATTTCCAACAGCCCACGAACATTCGAAAAGAAGATCATTAGTAATCATGAAAATGCAAAAGCCACCCATGGTCGACAACATGACTCCTGTCATACTAGTTAAAAGACGACGGAGCTGCAAGTAAGTGCCAGGAAACACGAAGAGCTCCACAAATTCCCAGACTGTCCATGGGGGTGAGTCAGTGCATCCAGCTCAGAGCTCAATGTACTGCTGTCTACTAAGCTTGACAGCACCCAATGAATGCACTCCGTGTCATGTATGTACCATCAGAGATGCATGAACATGCACAAGAAAGTAACAATAGCTGTGAAAGCTGAATTGACTCATAAGAGCCCAAATTCTGAAATAACTCAAGTGTTTATCATGGAATGTTAAAATATATTACAATATATCCATGCAATACTGAGACAAGTAAACAGAGCAAGACCCTGAAACAGCACCCATAACCAGCACAATCATAACAAACAGGAAAAGGAGTCAGACACAATAAAGCATGCACTGAATATTCCGCTTAGATAAGAGTGCATAAAGGGAAGTGCTAACTTACAGCATGAAAAGTCCAAACAGCAGGGACCCTAGAAAGGACTGAAGGGCTGGGGATGGGGACGGACAATAAGGAGCTCTCTAAGGATGCTGCAAATGTGCCATGTCCAGATCTGGGTGGTAGAAGAAGGATGTTTAGCTGTGGGAACCCATTAAAACACACAATGGCACATGGAGCTTTCTAGATGTTCATTTTAACTACGATTTTTAAAAACCTTAAAGAGCATGGCAAAGTTTCAGATGTCCTATCAAGTGACAGGTTAAGTTCTAGAATTCATAAGAACTGGATCGTCATTTTGTAAATTGAAGAGGGCATTAAAGTCACATTATAAATGTCTACACTCAGCTCACATTTAGCCAATGTGTCAATCAGACAATGACTTAGACTTTCTTGTCACATAACTCTTCAGTTAACTAGAAAGTATGTTCAAACCAGAAAGAGACCTCTTTTAATAGAGTATCATTTATTATTGTTATTATTATATTATTATTGTTGTTGTTATTATTATTATTATTGATGTGTATGAGTGAGTGTGTGTGTGTGTGTGTGTGTGTGTGTGTGTGTGTGTGTGTGTGTGTGTCCATGTCCTGGTCCACCTGTGGAGGTCAGAAGACAACCTTCCAGAGGAGGTTCACTCTGTCTCAGATGGTTCCGAGGATGGAACTCAATCTTGCGTGGCAAGGGTGTACACCCACTGAGCCATCTCGCCAGCCCCAGAAATGACAGATGATTGAACTTGATGTTTTAAACATTTCAAATTGATAAAAATTTAAACTGATGATGAAACTGATATACCTGGAAAAAATCTAGAACTTCATGTGAAAATGTAAGCATCCCCCACCCTAGTCACCTACCCACTCCCCAGTCTTAAAGGGAAAGAGTCTGTTTACTTCTCCAGAATATTTATTAAGTCTCCATTTTCCGATGGCTCTTCCCAAAGACATGAATAGCACAGAGGAAAGGTGAGCGACAAAGCAAAGTTTTCCTGTTTCTGAAATGGGCACATTTCTCGACGGCAGCCACTGAATCATCTCTTTGAAGACAGAGGACATCCATCTCTTGACACACGCAGCTACAACATTCAAACTCCAGGATGTACTCAACCTGCCCATGGAGAACTATAAACACAATTCACTGAAGAAATATAGTCTGCTTAAACTAGGAAGTGAAATTTGAATAAAATATTTAGGAGAAAAAAATTCTATTGACTTCTCTTATCTTGGAAAAACAAAATGTGGGAAGTGGAAAAATTGCTCCTGGAGTTGACAAGTTTGTTAACACTTTAGTGAACCTTTCTATTAATATTTTTCTCAAAAAAAAGAAAGAAAGAAAGAAAAGAAAGAACAAAGAAAACCGGAATGAGGGTAAATATATTATTTGTTTACAGTGTAATGTTTTGAAACTGAGTCTCAATATGTAGCCCAGACTGGACTAGACTCAAGGATAAAGATTTGATAAAAATAAATACATGAACAATAAAACTTGGTCATTAGGAAACTTTCAAACATCACTATATTCAATAAATAGTATATTCATTACATTTCTTGTCACTGTTACCAAGGACCTGACAGACCAGTTTCAAGTAGAGGGATTTTCACATTTGCTAGAACTTGGCTGGCTTTCTCCTTTCTCCCCTTACATTTTGTCTAGACCCTAGCCCATTACGTGCTATCTCCCACACTCAGGGAAGATGTCTCCCTTTAGATAATCCTCCCCAGAACAGCCCTCACAAGCTCACCAGTGTGTGCCTCACCCATCTTCAGGAGCTTCTAAATCCAGTCACATGGACAAGGATGACTAATCATCAGAGCAAACAATGATGACCCACAGCCCCCATGACTATAGAGTCATGGAGATAGTCTGAACACACCTAACAGTGAGTGCTCCACAGCCTCCAAACGAAGCAGGTGCACCTCTCAAATACTTAATAAAAACTTAGAGAACCACTGATCATAACTGCAAAACAGCTTTCAAACATTCATAAAAAATTCTACAATTTCAAAATTTAAAAATTAATTCTACCTGTTATCTACTACTATTATGAGATTTCAAACTTAAATTCACTAAATGCACAAACATTTCATAATAGGTACAAGAACATACGTTTTGACAAAATGACATATTGTACCCAAAAAGTTACTCCGCTAAGCATTATTAGAGTCTGACCACTGGTCCCCATTCTCCCATTTATCTATAAGTGGAAAAAAACTTTGGTTTGGGAGTTTGGTTTCGTTTTGTGGATATTTTTCTGAGGGGGGCAACAGTGTCTTGCTATGCATTCAGACTAGTCTAGAACCATCTACATTACCCAAGCTGGCTTCAAACTTGGATTCCTCCGCCTCAGCCTCGGAAGGGCTGGAACTGCAAGTATGCACCACCACTCACAGCTTATGAAGCAAAACTTTATAAAGAAGGACTCCTCACCACATCTTGTTTCTGGGCTTCATGAAGCTTTTCAGTCAATTCTTCCAAAACCCTTTTTGTTTCAGCATCCGACCTAAGCAAAGAAAGAAAGAGGTGTCAAGCTAACTAAATTGTTTAAAGGTACAGTGGTGTTTGCTGATGTCATCATTGTTTTGAGCTGGGAACCAAACCAAACCAAAGCACATCCTAGGCAAGTGCTTTATTACTGAGCTAAACTCCCATCCCTCACAGTAATTGTTATTCTATAATTCTCAACTGAAGTCTCCTCGAGTGTGTGTTAAAACATGCCAAAGGGGCCCTACCCATGAAATATCAGAATTAGCAAATCAGGGATAGGGCCCAAGATTGTGCATTTCTTCAAATTCCGACATAATGCTGAAGCGGTGGACCTGGGGACCCAACTTTGAGCATCATCACCATCAGTCCTCAGTCTCAAATTAGGAAGAAACAAAAAACAAGTTCTAAAAAAACAAAGGGAAAATAAAACTCTTGATCTCATAACCTGTTTGAGATACACAAACTCCATCCTTGTTAGTGCATCAAATTAGTGACAGCAGCACTCATGTAGTCCAAAAGACTTGCAAGGAAAGGCATCCCTCCCATCTCTACTCCCTTTGGATGCACTCGCAACTCGCACTCCAACGCCTTCTCCATTCGTAATCCTTTCGCTTGTTACCGCCATCATTTTCCATCAAAGACTATCGACTGACTCCTTGTTGTGAAGTATCTAGCTCACTAACTCCTTGGCAATACTGGGAATATTGATTGCTACTGGTTACCTGTGTGATTTCACAAAGTGCGTGTTACACAGGGTGTCCTTCAAACTTGTAGACAGAGGCTCTTGTACTCGCCTTCTATTACGCACATTTTAATAAGCCTCACGCTTAGATCGTTACTCTGGATGTCACTCTGGGGCTTTTATTTCCTCCTAATGCTCATCATCGTTTGGTGATATTCATCTTGTCCACTGATATCCCCCTTCCTGCATGAACTATCCATATACACATAATCTAGTCCCTTCCCCTTGGCAACATTCTTTTCCAAGGCCACTTACTTTCTTACTCTAACTTGACTGACCTGCAGGCTTGGTGTGTGGCTGTCATTTGGGGATTATTTTCACTGGGTTATTAGGAGAGCTTTACTATTTTGCTTCATTTTTTTAACTTTATAATTACTTATTGCTGGTGTAAAGGAAAGCGACTGTCTCTGTAATATTAACCCAGCACACCAGACATTGATGTAATAACCTGGTAATCTCAGAAGACACCTTTGGACTGCTGTATTTCACAATATCCACTACTTCTAATTTGTATCTTCCTCATCATTATTACTATTGTATTTATATAGTTTATGTTGAGATAATTTCTCAGAGAGAAGTATCTTAAGGGCTAAGAAAATGTGTTCTTTTCACCTCCCTCTTGATTTGGAAATTCCCATTCTCTCCTGGGTTTCCCAGTTCTCATCATCTGACCTTCAAGCCAGGTCCACATCACAGACCAGACTCCTTAATATCTGACCTCTCTGGTACTCAGCTCTGCCCCGATGCTTCTCTATAGTTTTTCTCTTTATGTCATCCGTTACCATAGCACTGTTATATGCCAAGCACGCCTGAAACTCATATATCTAACTCAGATTTTCTTTACTTTTAGCCTAAGGAATAGCCTAAGCTATTTTACATTTCTTCTTGGATATCTCACAGGAATATCAAATCTAACATAGCCAAGGAAGCCTCTTGATTTCTACCCCTCGGCTCCCTTAACCAACCTTTCTGGTATCATAAAGGAGACTTGTTGTTTGCTAGCTTCTCAAGTAGAAATCTGTGCGTTACCCTTGCTATGCATCCTTCATATACACGCCATTACCAAATCCTGACTCTTTGGCCTCCAATAATGCGTTCTGAAACAGACCCCTGTCCTCACTCTCCTGACTTCTCTCTGGACAAGCCATCACCAGTTCTGACACACTGAAGCAACAGACTTCCAGTTCACACTTTTCAGATCTGTTCTCCATAGGGCACTCAGTTTAAAGCTCATTTCTCTGTGTTTTCATAAGTCAATATAGTTTTGAAAAGTCAAAAAAACAAAAAATTAAGCCAGATGTGGTGACGCACGCCTTTAACTCCAGCACTTGGGAGGCAGAGGCAGGTGGGTCTCTGTGAGTTCAAGACCAGCCTGATCTACAGAGCTACAGTAAGACCCTATCTCAAAAAAGAAAAAGAAAAAAGTAAATAAGTAATTAAAAAAGAAAAAAATAAATAAGTAATTAAATGGGAATACCAACACTTCTGAATCAAATTATTTCCTATCCAGTATGTTTAGAAACATATCAAGTATATTTAGAAACATGAATACAATTACTGTAAAGGCAAAGTGTTCGATTTTACTCCTCTACAATTCAATGTCATCTCATTTCACAAATTTAAATAGAAATAAAATCTGATTTCTACTCGAGAGTAAATAAAGTTTCTCTGCCTCACCTGTGCCTCCAAATGACAGACACTTCCCAAATGGTGTGGTTTCTAGGTCAGAAGAGCCGCAGGACAACACTGCGTTTACTGGGGACCACATAACCAGTCCACCAGCCCATCTGCACATCTCCTCCAGGACCTCCCTCCAAGACAACAGTTCCCAAACCCAAGCACCCAGCGCTTCATTAACACTTGCTCCAAATGGAGAAAGTCTACACAGAAAAATCATTCCAGACTAAAACAATGCTTTCTGTCAATTTTATCACCTTGTCAAAAGAAATACAAGCATTAAGTTCTCTGCCTTTCCAGTAATTAAGCTCACAAGTCAGTAGCTCCATCCACATCAGCTACCTGTGAAAATGATCTTCCACATCAGCTACATGTGAAAACGATCTTGAACCACAGTGTATGTGTGTGGTAAAGGGCAGAGGCTCTGGGGCCTTACTGCCCAGATTTCAATTCTGACCTTGCATTTCTCATTTTCCATCTCCAGCCAACAGACTAATTTCATCTCACTGTGCCCATTTCCTCATCCATTAAATGAAGAAAATAATGACTATGCCATAGTTCTTGCAAAAAAAACCCTGACAGCTTAGGGTAAATACCGTGAGTGTTTGTTATCGGCAGTACTAATAACACTAATGATGGCAGAGTCTTGTTTCTAGCCCGAACTTTCCTGTCCTCCTCTTCTAAAATCAGGAAAGTTGCCCAGACTATACTCGATACAGCTGACAGCTGTACTCACTGAACTGGTATGGAACAGCATTTAGCCAGAATATGCAAATAAACATAGACCTGGAATTCCACCTGACTTTTCTCCCTCCCTAACCTTTGATGTATAGAGACTTTACTTCTTATTTATTTATTACGGGTGGAAACACTTGCATGTGGAAGTCAGAGGACAACTTGTAGGAGTTGGTTCGCTCCTTTCACCATGTAGATCCTGGGGACAGAACTCAGGTCATCAGGTCTTTTTGCAATGAGCCTTCTCAACAGCCCTAGAATCTAACTCTCAGAAAATATAAAAACCTTAACTTCTTTAATAAACAAAAAATGACCTTCCAAGTAGAGCACTTGTTACTGTTGATGAAGAAAATGAAAGAGTGAGGAATTTTTATATTATTTTGTATTATGTGATGGCTTTTGGGAATGCTCCAAAACCGGCCAAAGTTTGCAGTTTAACTGCAGGCTCTTTAACCACAGGCTTTCAAAGGTCACAAGTCAACTAAGGTATCAGATTCTAAATGGCTTGGGTCTACACAAAGATGGGGTACATGTTCTATTTTTCTCCCTGAACTGCTAAAAGTCAGTAAACAAACTAGCCACTCTCTACCTCTACATCTGTCTGTCTCCTCTCTCTCCCTGAAATATCTAAGTACATCTTCTTTACTAATGTCTCTCATAATGTATCTATCCATAATATCAGCATTCTATTAAGTAAAAGTGTTTTTAGAAATCTAGAATTTACTCCTAACTTTCCTGTCTTCCTCTTCTAAAATCAGGCAAGTTGTACAGACTATACTTGATATATTTGACAGCTAGAGTTTGAACTCACTGCAGCAAAAAATCAATGAGTCATGATAAGCTATATAAATTTAAAAGGCTTTGAGTTGTGTTATTAATAAATACTAGAGACTGAGGACATAGCTCAGTTGCTAAGATGTTAGTCACACAACCATGAGGACCTGTGTTCACTCTCTCGCACCCATGTAAAAAGCTGGGTGGTAATGAGGTTTTATATGAGTATGTTAAAATTTATTTTTTTGTGTGTGTGTTTATATGCACGTGTGAATGTGTGTTCCTGTATGTGCAGATGCATGTGCATGTGTGTGCAAATGGAGGCCTAAGCACTTGGTAGGTAAAGATAGGAAAACCCATAGAAATTGCTAGCCAGACATCCTAATCAATGAGCATCGGCCCCAGTGAGAGACCCTATCTCAAAAAAATATGGTACAGGGATGAAGAGATAGTCCAGTGGTTAAGAGCATTTGCTGCTCTTTCAAAAGACCAGGCAACTAACAACTGCCTGTAACTCTAGCTCCAGAAGATCAGACACCTCAACTGGCCTCCAGACACTCACACACACATATCCACAAACATAGTGTATATACACATACAAATAACTAAAAATTAAGGCCAATGGCTCCTAAGAATACTCAAGTTTGAGCTACAGCCTCCATTTGCACACACATGCACATGCATCTGCACATACAGGAACACACATTCACACGTGCATATAAACACACACACAAAAAAATAAATTTTAACATACTCATATAAAAGCACAACATCATTTTCTTAATCTATGTAAACAAGTCATTGCGGAAATGAATTTATTCTTTTGATAATTCACGCCTCCCAAGAAAACCCTGTCGCCATTTTACCGGCTTCTTCTGGAAATCTCCTTGTTGAAATCATCTCCAAGCCGAACTTGTTCACTGCTGAGGTCTCGGAGGGACTGATGAAATGCATGCAGCTATGAAAGCAAAGCACATTTAGCCACTTAGGGTTCTGCTAGCTCTTCCACAAATAAATAAATAAACAAATAAACAAACAAATAAGTGGATGAATGAATGAATGAATGGACCAAAGGAAGAGCTCTCTTCCACAAAAAGAACCAAATTCTGTATCATCATTAATAATCAATAGATACTTGTCATTAAGACACAAGTCTTTCACAGGTAAGCCTAACAGTGGCCATCATACTCTCCCCAGCATAGCAATTTCACCCCTTTTGTGACCTGGAGATGACAAGTATTTCCGAAATACACGTTCTGTCATCGCTGTCAACCATGCCACTGGAGTGCAGAACTAACCAAAAGCAAACGAACATGCTGTGGTACAAGAACTTTTTACCACATCAGCCCACATGCCTGGTCAGTATCACATGCCAAGACACTACTGCCAGCACATGAGCAACCATGTACAAGAAAGCATGGAGCCACATGATTCCTAACAAAAATGCTAAATTCAACCCCACAAAGCAGAACATAATATTTCATATGTATTCTTTGAGAGGATCATACAGCAGTGCAAACGTCATCAAAACCAGTGCACATCAGCAAGGTTCGATGGCAAAACATAATGATGTATGATAGCATTCAATTTATGCAGTTTACAGGCAGGCAACAAGCAATAAAACATAGCCAAAGTTTTTTTTAAAAAAACAGAAATAATGAATGTAAGTCAAGACAGGGCAGGAGAGATGCCTCAGCAGCTGAGAGCATTGGCTGCTCCTCCATAGGAAACAGGTTGTATTTCAAACAACCATATAGTGACTCACAACCATCTGTAATTCCGGTTCCAGAAGATCAGACATCTTCTTTTGACCTCTGTGGGTACCAAGTATATGTGTTGCACAGACATACATGTAAACAAAAACCACACACACACATAAAATTTTTAATTTTTTTTTTGTTTGTTTTTAGTGTGTCTAAAGTCAGGTCAGGGTATACCCATTCCTGAAAGGAGGAGCCTACTTAGGAGTGTAAAACAGTCTATGTCTTGTCCTAGGTGGTGAATACATGGCATTCAATCTATTGTACCTTAGCCATAAATATATACACTTTGTATTAGTTTATAATAAAATCATTTTAAGTGAAAAAGATTTACCAAAACAAGAAATACCCACTTCAACAATGCTCACTGAACAACTAATCAGTGCTGGCCACCTACTGGGAAATAAGCATATGACAACCTACCATGGGAGAAAAGCATGTAAACATAACACAGACTTTCACTGGGACCTAAAAAACACACAGTTAAGAAGAGCCAAAGGTCATCTGGAGAAAACGAGATTACAGATGAACAATAGAATCCACTTAGCTTTGCCATCAGGAAGTCACGAATCCCAATCTGTAAAACAGATTCTGAGGATCCCTGCCTTCCCCATGCAGTTATCTAAACTTCAAACCCTATCAATTTTATCCATTTCATACCTTTAAAATCTACTTCCTTCTCTCCAACTCCACATATCCTAATGCAAATGCCCATCAGTTCCCACCCGAACATAACACTATCCTAGTTCATGTGTCCACACTGACTACTGACCATCAGCCCTTGTACATCTTTCAGCCCATGGACTGCCTTACAGCGTCCCTAGGTGTTGTCTTCCCTCTTGCCAAGCTAACTGTCCTCTCTCGGATGACTCCATCCATTTCCAGATGTTCATTCAATCAGCCTTTAGGTAGGTCACATGTCTACTACACCCTCACCCCATGACTTGTATTTCTTTCCATGATAGCATGCTTCTTAGTTCACATTATAGTGCACTAATGTGCACTAGATGAATACCTAGCTACCTACCCCATCCAGAATATAAATTCAATAAAAGAAGAGGGTTTCACTCATTATTGATTCCAAGTATAAGCACTGTCCCAAAAACAGAAATGAAGTGCAGAAAATGAAAAATGAATGAGTAATGTCAAAACAATCCTCTGTACTGTTCAATCCTACAGTCTATTAGCAAGTTATACTTTAAAAATAATACAGTCATGGGAAGATTCCTACAAGGTGTTTCCTAATGCATCTGAGTCTGTTTTACATTACGCTGAAGAAAACAACAGCCACAGGTGAATTTCCTGAAACAGCCTTTGAGCACCTACTCCTGAAACTGTCAAAACAAAGATGCCAAAGTGGGACGCTGTTCCCACCCTTTTCTAATTAATTCAGCTACCTAAGACAACAAGTGAAAAATTCATCTCTGCAAAAAGAAAACCAAGAAAAGAAAACGCCTTGAAGAAACAGAGGAAGGGGCTGGAGAGATGGCTCAGAGGTTAAGAGCAGGGGCTGCTCTTCCAGAGGTCCTGAGTTAAATTCCCAATAACCACACGGTGGCTCATAACCATTTGTAATGAGATCTAGTACCCTCTTCTAGCCTGCAGGAATATATGCAGGATGTACACTATATACATAATAAAGAAAGAAAAAAAAGAAGCAGAGGAAGAAATACATTCATAGAAACTATTAGAATACTGCAAAACTCTTTGGGGAATACATTTTCAAATTTCTTATTTAACATAAAGTAGTTCCATCAATTATTCAACAATCAGAAAAATACCAAAATTAGAAAAAAACTTAATCAACCATACAAATGTGGTGACATTCTTTATGGAAATATCTCTCACATTCAAAGAGACTAGAATATTTGCTAGGCCTCACAGCTGAGTTAATAACACACCTTGAAGACACTTAAGAGTAAACCTGATAGCCTTCTGTTTTAATTAGGGTTTCTATTGCCATGACCAAAAGGGAGAGCTTATTTCACCTTTTGGTCCATTGTCCAAAGGAAATCAGGCCATGACTGCAGCCAGTTCAGAGGTCAGAAAGGATGCTGCCCACTGGCTTGCTCCTCGTGACTTGCTCAGCCTACTTTCTTATACCATCTGGGACCACCTGCCCAGGGATGACACTGCCCACAGTGAGTGGGGCTCTCCCACATCAACTGTTAATACAGACTTGCCTATAGGCCAATCTTACGGAGGCATTTTCTCAATTAGGATCCCTTCCCCCAGACATGTCACAAAAACCAACCAGCACACCTGCTATGTAGTCAGCCTTTAAGAGAACAATATAAAAATCAAACTTTCTTACTTTGGATTTCTCATGTAATCTACAGCTTTCATATGTATTCTTCCATATCCCTGGCCCAGAGAGCAATGCACTGTGTATATGTAGCTGTGTATGAAGGTATGTTAATCATTTGTTGAAAAGAGAAAACAGATCAAAAGCAACCTTACACAACAAACACCCACCATAAATGCTGGAAACAGCATACTGCTTGGTAATGGCACTTTGCGGTACTGACTTCTTCGGGATCAGTTGGGATCAATTTGAATCAGTGACTTAATCCCTTGTAAAACTCTGTTAAAGAGTTCTGTAAAGTATCCCCCATTCCTGTATAAATTTTCCTGTACTGTTCACTAAATACAGAGGAAAGTCCTTGGTTAGGGACGGGCCGGTGACAGGGACACATCAGTTACATACAGACTACATCAGTTACACAGACAGACTACAGACAGGCCAGGAATCACAAACTACAGACAGACAAAAGACACAGGGATTGAAATGGAGGATTCAAACATGGGCTTGCTCTTGGTCAAATTAACCCAAGAGAAGTGCTGGTTTTTCTTTCCTCAAAGCAACACCAACACATTTTGGCTCCCCAGAGGCTACCTTTAATGTGTTTGCCTGCCATGTTTGCTCATCTCTGTTTCAACCTAGCAAGCTAACTTAGCACCTACACAGGAAATGAAAAAATAAAACACACCCAACTAAATTCAACTGTTTTTTATGGCTAGTTTTATGTCAACTTGACACAAACTAGAGCTATCTGAAAGGAACGAACCTCGACTGAGAAAATCCTCCATATATCTGGCTCTAAGGCATTTTCTTACTTAGTGACTGATGGGGAGGGAGGGCGCAGCCCATTATGGGTGGTGCCAAACCTGGGCTGGTGACCCAGTTTCTATAAGAAAGTAGACTGAGAAATCCATGAACAACAAACCAGTAAGCAGCACATCCCCATGCTCTGCATCAGCTCCTGTCTCCAGATTCCTGCCCTGTTTGAGTTTCTATCCTGACTTCCTTCAGTGATGAATAGTGGTATGAACCTGTAGGTCAAATAAATCCTTTCCTGCCCAAGTTGCTTTGGTCATGGTGTTTCATCACAGCAATATTAGGTAAGACACTCAATTTTAATTCTTTTTATTGTTTGAGAGTTCCATGCACGTTTATAATGTATCTGGTCAAATCCACTCCCAATCCCTCAATTCCTTCCCTGTGCCCCCAACACTCGTCCCTCCCAACTCCATGTGCTTTGTTTTTAACCCTACTGACTCTACCAGTACTGTATGGGCATGGGTGCAGGACTATCCCCTGGAGCGTGTGTAGCCTCTCAGGGATCACATTCATGAAGAAAGCTCGCACAATGCCAATAGCTCTCAATAGCCAACAGTGGAATTCATGAGCCTTTCCCCCTTCTGTGCTGGGACTTTGACTAACTTTGATCTTGCATAGTTCTTTAGAATATAGTCATAGCTGCAATGAATTCATGTGTGCAAAGGCCTTGTCATGTCTGCCAAATACTATGGTGCTGCAGATGTCTGCTACACCAGGCTCTTACAATCTTTCCACCACTGCCTCCATAATGATCCCTGAGCCTTGGCAGGAGAGGGTATAATATAGAGGTCCCATTTAGAGCTGAGGGTCCCAGTCTCATTATCTGCACATTGACCATCTGTGGGTCTCTGTATTCATCACCATCCACTACAGAAAAAAAAAAAAAAAGGGTTGAAAGATGGTTTAATCTATGGGTTTAAGGGTATGACCTGCTGCGGGGGGCTGGAGGGAGGGTGGGCAGGTTCTTTCTATGTCCATTTAGTAGAATAACAGCATTAGATTCTTCCCTATGACTTAGGCAGTCATATGTTTTTGGCTCAGTGTATGGTGCCAGACATGTATGTGTGTATGTATATGTATATTTTTAGGAAGCTTCTTTAGTAGTGGGTTTCCACATGGCTTCTTCAAATATGTATTAGATATCCTTCCCCACACTCTCTTCTACCCACCCTTCCCAACACCCACCACATTTAACCCTTTCTGTTTCACTATTTCCCTCTCCTACTTCATATCACCTGCATTCTATCCCCCTACCTCACTTGAGATCCACTCACTACAACATGGCCCCTTACTAGTTTCCTGACTTCTATGGATATGCTCCAGTCCAAACATACATATCTAAAGATTCAAAGCTAGCATCAATATATGACAAAGAATATACAATATTTGTCTTTGTGGGTCTGGGTTATCTTACTCAGAATGATTGTTTCAATTCCAACTATTTACCTGTGAATTTCAATTTTTCATTTTTTTTATGGATGAATAATATTCTACTATTACACATACCACATTTTCATTATCAATTCATCCACTGATGGGCATCTAGACTGTTTCAACTTCCTGGATATTGTGAATCTGTTGTCATTTGCTTCACTGATCTTAGCCATTCTGACTGGGATAAGGCAAAAATCTCAAAGCAGTTTTAATTTGCATTTCCCCCAACTACTAAGGTTGTTGAACTTTTTAAAATATTTCTTAGCCATTTCTATTTCTTTTGTTTTTTTTTTTGAGAACTCTCTTTTATAAATCTTCAAAATATAATGCTCCACAACAAAATCCAAAACATATGACACAGATTAGTACACAGAAAATACTTTCACAAATTGTAAGAAATGTTCTTCCTAGTGGGAGCAGCTGCTAAAGACAAGGAACAGAGAAGGGACATGTGGGACTTGTCTGCTACACTGGGGACTCCTCTCAATTTTAAAGAATAAAAAAAGTATCTGTACATTGAATATAAAATATATTTGGCTTAAAAAGAAAAAATCTATGCAAAATTATTGATGATCAAATTCTTAGTTAAGATATGCCCATCAAGTCATTTATATACAAATAGAGGACGTGACAGATAAACTACCCAATGTGACAAAGTACCTGGGCCATGTCGTCTGTCTCCCGAACAAACCGAACCCCAGTTCTGGACCTGTTTCGTTTAATACCCTGGGGATCATAGTCCTTCAGCGGTGAGGTAGGTGTAAAGCGAAGACTCTCTTTCCAATGCAAAGAAGAAGAAAGGAGCATTGAAACACTGCATGAGAACAATCTAAAATTTCACTTGATACTGAAGAACAGACATGAAGATACAGTTACTTTAGCCTAGGCTTTCCAAGTAACATGCTGTAGCCAAAGATCACAACATTGCTCTTAAAGTGGGTAAAATGAACAACAAACTTAGCCTGAAAACAGAACATGCCCAAAGGTCCAATTTTTAACACTGTCCAAAGCAGCAACATATTTTCTCCTACATAAAAATAATTATTAAATACTTAAATTCCTTATTCCTCTCTAAAATATAATATCCCACTAATAAGATCAAACTTTGCAAATATCACATCAATTAATCTAAAGCCAAAACAGTGCATAACAATCAATAAAAACAGACTACATAAAAATAAATGATAGTGTCCAACTTTAATCACTACTATGAGTAATAGCAGTATTCACAATGCAGAGTACCAATGTTTATCCAACTAAATCACTCCCATCACTGTAGATGTTTCTGTGTGATTCAAGCATGATTCTCAGCACTACAGGGAAATATGAGATTAATTATAGCAAACAAAGTGTTTAATAAATTTTAACATAATCACTGGCATCTAGCTGTACACCAAGGCTAAAATTCAACTGCTTTTAACATATATGTAGCTGAAAGTTTCTCTGTGTCTCAGCCAGCCAGTGGTCGGGACAAATCTCTCCCACTCATGTCCTCCAAGTAAACACACAGAGGCTTATATTAATTATAACTGCTCGGCCATTAGCTCAGGCTTATTACTGACTAGCTCTTACGTTTAAATTAACCCATGATTCTTATCTATGTTTTGTCATGTGGCTTGGTACCTTTTTCCCAGTTCTGCCTTGTCATCTTGCTTCCTCTGTGTCTGGCTTGTGACTCCTGACTCAGCCTTCCTCTTCCCAGAATTTTCCTTGTCTGCTTATCCCACCTAAACTTCCTGCCTGGCTACTGGTCAATCAGCATTTTATTTATCAACTAATCAGAGCAGCACATATTCACAGCGTACAGAACATCCCCACCACATGTGTTACAGCATATTTGATAATCAGAAATTTTAAAAACAACTATGCCAGGACAAGATTAGAAAGAAAACATACCAAAGTAGATTTCAAGTTGTGCATTTGTTTTGAAGCTTGGGCAGCAATTAAAATCCAGGCTTAGTTGAGTAAAGCTCCATGTCTACACAGCCTGAGAAAAATAAAACTAACAAACCCAGACTATCAAAGACCCTTTTTAAAAAATGCACTATACTATCCAACAACTGCATGTGTTGTATATGTGTAGTATATAATCCATAAGATCTATAATCTTGTGTATTTCTCCAAAGATTAAATGTATTTAGTATGTACTTCAGAAATATTTTTGAAATTTAAAAAGGAAAAAAGGCTTTTAGACCACACGAGGGGTTTACCTGCCATGGTGCCACCATCGAGATCACTTGCACTCAGGCTGGTAACAGAAGCACTTCTCCCTCCTGAGTTTCTCTGTAAGCGCTGACTCCGCAGTTGGCTTATCGACTGCTCCAAATCTTCCTTTAACTGAAGAAGATGATGGACAGTTACTCTTCTTAAGAAACCCCTAAGCACAGTAGACACATCTGACAGTGGTTCCTGAAATATCTGACTTGCCAGGAAAAAAGCATGGCTATCCGAGGAATTCTGAAATGAGTTACATTATGAAATAGAAAAACTAATAAACGTAAGTATTTAGAGAACAAATGCTATGGTCTGGCTTATAATGGTAACTATTACTACTTTATCCTCTCTTCCTATTGCAAGAAAGGAGATATTCACCTTATTTAAGGGCTTGCAAACTAGTCTGAAATGATTAACTCATATTTGTGGAGAAAGAAAACAAGGCCAGCCAACACATTTTAAGGAAAAAGAAAAAGCATTCTTCTAAACATTCTGTCAGAAACCCCAGGCATGTAAGAGTGGGCATGGAACAGTTATTGAAGAGACTGAGACTACTAGAACAAAGTGTACCACCAAACAGCATCAGAACATCACATCCATTTAATGAAAGAAGACACATCCCAGAGAACTGTGAGAACAAATGTCAGCATGTACTATGGACTACTGGTGTTAACACACACATGCTTGCACACTTAGAATACTAAAATAGCTATGTATATTGAACAAAATTGGCTAAATACTGGGAACAGTATCCAGACAAACCAACAGTTGTAGACCTAAGAAGAAGCCTCAACTAACATCTGAAAAAAACAAAGAGGAAAAATCTGTCCACCCTGATTTCTAGGACACCTCAGCTCAAGCTAGTTACCTTTATGCAAACAAGAATACTGCATGAATCCATCTCAAATCATCTCTAGCTCTTTGAAAACAAAGTCAGAACAAAACAGTTGATAGAGAAGAAACTTCCTGAGCTCTGCCAGAGTGAAAAGGTAGAACAGCCCTTATTGCCAACACAAATAAGTACTTAATAACCTGGGGAAGTGTACAGAAGCTAGGCAGTCCAGCCACAGGAAAAGCATGAAGAAAACAGCAAGATCAGATAGGAGGCAAATCGTTTTTCCTTTCAGTTCCTTACACTGTGCTAAACCTAATTTGAGCACACTCCTTGAAACAAAGTTAGCTGCCACTTCTTCCTATTGTTTTTGTAAAATAATCTGGCTTTTTTGTTTCATATTAAGTCATCTGTGTTTTCCCTTCAACTGAGGCTACTTTCTTCCTGAAGCCCCACACACCCCAGGATAACCACATTTTTATCCATCCTTGGATAAAACATTCAGAAGTTTTCTCTTTAACTTCTCCATTGTTTTTCCATGTGTCTGTGAGTTCTATTTGTTTTAATCCTACTTTTTAACCCATAGAGATCACAGAATGAATAAATTGTCATCTTTCACGTGTTATGAATTCTCAGTCATTCATTGTTTTTGCCCTATTCTCTCCTCTCATCTCCTCCTGTCCCTTGTCTTCTCCTTCATAAAGGTTTGGTTTGGTTTGGTTGAGACAGGGTCTTGCCGGTGGCCATGTCAGAGGAGCCGCAGGTGGCAATTGAAGTTCGATGGGTGAATCTGGAATAGGCAAGGCCCCATGACCACAGACTCCAGACTGTCTTTTGCTTCTGCTGTGCCTTTACATGTTTGCTGCTGCCATCTTTCTCTGATATCTGGCATGGTGTGAATGGGCGTGGGGTGATCCCACTGCCTGTAATGTAGCGTGTTTATCTCATGGAAACATCCTATTCTACTGGGCATTTTCATTTGTAGATTATTACGAAGATGATTTCTTCCTAAGCTGTACTATCTAGTTGATTATAATAATGTTAGTTTAAATAGAGTTTTGATGATAAAAAAAAAAAGCAAGGAAGTGTCACAGAGCTAAAACACATGAGTTTCTATTGAGGAGCCACAAAGACTGTGGCTTAGGCTAATGATTAAGAAAAACTACCGAGTCCCAGGTAGTTTAAATTCTTCTAATCTTAATGTTGGGAGGTATGTTCACAGGTTTTGGAGTGCATCATAACTGAAACAAAGCTTTGAAAATAAGTTAAAGTTAGACTAAAATATTTTTGTTAAATAGCTCTGAGGTGAAAAACCCAAGAAGACAATCTAAAGTTTTAGAAAGGCACATGGTTGAGTGAGTAACTCATTAAGGTCAGGGAACAAAGCAGTCCAATTATCATTAGCTGACATATACTTTCTTGCCATGATTGATTGCCAACCAAAGGTGATGATTAATTCCTTATACCCATTTTTGCCCTCAGTCTCCCAATATAAAAAACTATTGATGTGTGGGTGCCGGGAGCTATCCCCGGTAGTGGATGGGTCCTGCAGAGGATGTACAGAGTCGGTGGGGAAAGAAGTGAGTCAGGCCATGGTGGTTGGGAGAATCTTGCAGCCTGTCTGACTAGCAGCTAGAGTGTTTACTTATACAGAATTTAGTTAGCAGGGATACATTCATGATGTTCCAAAACATAGATCATATCATTTTTGTTTTTGGACATGTGTTTCACTTCCTTTTGCTCATCTTTTAGTCATCATTAATAAACTATGACAGAATAGAATTATCATTTCCAATCATTTCCCCTCAAATTTTGACATCATTAATAAACAGAGTTATCATTCTTACTCATTAACCCCATGACCCAATTTTTGAGAATCTAGAGGCATATGACAGCCTGTGCTCAGGCTGGTTGCTTTGGTTGCTTCAAGGACACTAGACCAAAACAAAATCTTCAACCACCCTGGGCATTTTGCCATGTCTCAAGCAGTGTATTATTAACTCTTAGTGGTCAGAATGCCCAGGAAAAATCCTCAGGCTACAGCTGCAGTTATTACAATCAATGTTCACATTTATATCCTTATAGAATTTGTCTATATGTCTAACCCTAGCATTCTGTTGTTCTTTGGTCATATGACATTGTAGTGGTTCCACATGAGTTAACTTCTAAGAGAGGGAAGTCCTAACATCTCATACTTTTATCATCTTTCCACTCTATACTTTGCTCATCAATATGTCTCTGTGTAGGACAGAGTTGTATGCCACATAATTGTCTGCGTGTACAGTGGGAAGAGCCTTGTAATCTGAACTATGTACAATTCCTCTTGCCCACCAAATCATGTTGACCTTTTTTAATTTTACTTTGTTTTGAATATCTTGTTCCTGTGTAAGTAGAGGGACAGATGTTTCAAGAATGTCTCATAGCCTCATAAAGAGACCTCTGGCTTCTTTATGTGTCACAACCTCCAGGGATAAGGAAGACCTTCAATTAGATAAGGATATCTCCCTCAAAGTGAGGAGTGGGAGAATAGTATGTTCAGGACTTTCCTGGATAAGCTTAGAAGCAGCATTCCTGGGAGAAGGCATAAATGATTCATAAAGAATTTTCCATCAATCCGACATCCCCAAATTGTACAAATATTAAAAGTACCCCAAGTATGTAACAGGTAGAGATGAAAACCAAAGTTGGCATGGCAGTCATCATGTGGCTCAGCTCTGCTGGATCTTTGTCAAGCAGCTGTGCTGGCTTTATGACTTCTGCCATTCCATTCATGTATGGCTGTGCCAAGTGGGTATGTACCTTAAAGATTTAAAGTAGAGCTGACTGATTGTTTTTCATATACAAAAGTTTAGATTTGTGATTCCTTTTTTTTACTTTTCTTTTTTTATTTTATAATTTAATTTTACATATCAGCCACAGATTCCCTTGTTCTCCCCCCTCCCACCCCCCACCTACCCAACCCCAAGCCCACCCCCCATTCCCATCTCCTCCAGGGCAAAGACTCCCCTGAGGATTAAGTTCAACCTGGTAGATTCAGTCCAGGTAGGTCCAGTCCCCTCCTACCAGGCCGAGCCAAGCGATCCTGCATAGGCCCCAGGTTTCAAACAGTCAACTCATGCAATGAGTACAGGACCCGGTCCCACTGCCTGGATGCCTCCCAAACAGATCAAGCCAATCAACTGTCTCACTTATCCAGAGGCCCTGATCCAGTTGGGGGCTCCTCAGCTATTGGTTCATAGTTCGTGTGCTTCCATTCATTTGGCTATTTATCCCTGTGCTTTATCCAACCTTGGTCTCAACAATTCTCACTCATACAAACCCTGCTCTTTCTCGCCAATTGGACTCCTGGAGCTCCACCTGGGGCCTGGCCGTGGATCTCTGCATCCGGTTCCCTCAGTCATTGGATGGGGTTTCTAGCACGACAATTAGGGTGTTTGGCCATGTTATCACCAGAGTAGGTCAGTTCGGGCTGTCTCTCAACCATTGCCAGTAGTCTATTGTGGGGGTATCTTTGTGGATTTCTGTGGGCCTCTCTAGCACTTTGCTTCTTCCTACTCTCATGTGGTCTTCATTTATCATGGTCTTTTATTCCTTGTTCTCCCTCTGTGATTCCTTTAAGATCCCTTATAAGATTATCTTTCAAGATAAGTAATAAAGTGATTGGCCTTTTCTTTGTAACCACAAAATACAGCCTGCCAGTAAAAGAATACCTGCTTGCCTGTTACACTGTTAATTATAATTACACTGTTAATCTATACCAAGTTGCTTGGGTAAGAACGTACATGGGTTCTTGAGATAATTTGGTTTTCACCTGTAATACATAAAATGTTTAATCATGTTAAGAGATATAAATAACAAGCTGTTTTTTACTTGTATTCATCATTCACTTGAAAACTAGAATGTAACCACACTGTAATTTTTATTTTGCTTAAAAGATTTTGCTGGGGTATATAAACTGTAAGGAAAAAATAAAGATAGAATTAGAAGGAAAACATCAAGAATAAAGATAGAGTGAGGAGAAGGAAAACATCAAGAATGAAATAATTAGGAGGAAAACATTAAGAGTTAGAAGGAAAACATCAAGAGAGACAGAAGGGACTTTTCTGGATAGAGATAAGAAAAGAGAATAGAAGTCAGGTGGTGGTCGTGCATGCCTTTAATCCCAGCACTCCAGAGGCAGAGGCAGGTAGATCTCTGTGAGTTCAAGGTCAGCCTGGAGTTCCAGGACATGCTCCAAAGCTATACAGAGAAACCTGCTCTCAAAAAAAAAAAAAAAATAGAAAATACAGAA